ACACACACACACACACACACACACACACACACACACACACACACACACACACACACACCGGGGGAACCCCCTGCCCGCTCAGCCTGCGTATACCTCGGGTGGGGTGCGAGTGCAACGACGTCATCCGTTTCGTTGTAACTTACATTTATTTTGTACAAAAAAATCATGACACATGACATTCATCACCGGTAAAAATAGACTAAAAATTAACAGAGACAATTGCACGTTGGGCCTCTCATCTCAGCTGGCGGCAGTGAAGACCTCTCTCCTATACTCCCCTCCCCCTCTAGTGACTGCGGGAGAGCATGGTGAGGGCGGCGGCGCCCAGGAGCAGCCCCAGCACCAGGGCGGGCGCGGCCGTCACCGCGCTGCCCGCGCCCTCCAGGTTGCAGCCCGCGTTCCGGTCCATCAGCCCCGAGAAGTCCTGCGCCAGCAGGTTCTCCTTGTCGTAGATGGACACGAAGCCCACCGCAGATTTCTGGAACGGAGAGAAAAAGTTACTGTAAAATGTCAACGCATGGAAGTGGCAGAGGTTCGAAGCGTTTCGTATCAGCATCGCCAGGGTGAACACACCTTGAAGATGACGTCATCCACGCCACGATACTGGCCGAAGATGTTGAGGGCGCTTTCGTAGTGCTTGGCGCCGTAGCCGAACCAGTACTCCAGCTCGAGGAGAAGCAGCGCGGCGTCCTTGGCGATGGTGGTCTCCGGGTTGCGGGTCACGATCTGCAGGCAGGCCAAGTCATGAATATTCGGGTCGCTCTTCGCTGCGGACCTCCCTCTCCCTCCGCCATGCTATGCCCGAGAGACCCGCGCGTCCGCGGCCCCCGCGTCCTCACCTCGCCGACGATGCCCGTGGACAGGGCGCACTTGGCGTCCACCAGGAGTCCGACCTGCGAGCTGGCCGAGCCGTTGCGGCAGAGCACCCGGTACTCGTCGTCGCGGTAGTCCGGGAGGAGCTTCACCAGGCCGGTCTGGTCGACTGCGAGGGGGCAGAGCAAGCGACAAGAGTGTGACCACACCGTACAACACTAGTTGTTGTTTGACGCTGGGCACCAGAGGCGGGTGTTGCGGGTGCTGCTCAGCTTACCCTCCGTCAGGGCGCGGAGGTCCACGAAGGCCACGTCGCCCCTCTTGTCGTTGAGGCACCGCATGGCACCCGCGTCCGCAAAGTAGCTGTTGTTGTACGTCCCGCACTTGCTGACGCTCGGGTTGGGGGTGACGCCGTCCCTGTTGACGTCCGGGCAGAGGGCGCACAGGCTCGTTCTGGTCTTGGTGTTGCTGTTGGGGTTGTGCAGGCTGTCGTCGGCCCCCGGCGCGCACGCGCGGTACAGGTACTCCGAGGCGGCGTCGGACGAGGGGCACTTCTTGGGCAGCAGCTTGCGGCTGCGCGCCGCGTCCACCCAGGCTGTCCACGCTGCGGCACGAGGGAGCACGTTTTCACTTTGCGGACTTGGGAGTTTCCGACTCCAAAAATTTGGACGAAATCAATTGTCAAGATACGCATATTGTCTAAACATCAAAATATGGCGGAAACCCAAGTTGTGATTTATCGTTCAATTTTCTTTGAATAAATAATACACCGAGGAATAAATATACTGTACCCATCTAGAGGTAGTTCAATCAATTTCAACCCTTCTCACCGAGGCCGCCGAACTCCGGGAAGCAGGCGGACTTCTGCTTCAGGTCGGAGAGCTGCTTGATGCCGGACTCGGCCCTGACCACGGCCAGGATGCGGTAGGCACGGTCGTTGTCAGAGTCCTGGTAGATGAGCCCGCTCAGGCCGAACGTCCTGCGGCAAGCAGAAGAGGGACACACTTGAGTCTTTCTTACCCTCACCAGCACGACTTCCGCGCATCCTCAGCGGATCAGGAGCGGCGGCGCTTACTTCCGGGCGAGGTGCGAGTACTCGGCGTCGATGGCCAAGATGTCGGCCGTCATGTTGCGCACGGCGGCCATGCACTCCCACATGTTGCTGGCGGGGATGCACTTGATGGCGGGCTCCAGGCCGTAGTTGAAGGCGCCCTGGCGCAGCACCTCGCACTTCTCGGCCTCGAGCGCGCCGCTCACGCACCAGCGCACGCTGGGCCGGCACTGCTGACCCTCGGGCGTCGCGGGGCCCAGGGTGTCGTTGCGACCTGCGGCACATACGCGGGGCGGGGTATGAGAAACTCGTCGGAGGGGCTGGGCTGCCCTAGTGGCCCATAGCGTCTCATGAAAAGGCGGAAGCGGGCGGGGGTAAACAATGCGGCGGCCGAGGCTCAAACGGGCTGGTTGTCAATCAACGGCCAGGACCTTCAGACGAGCAGACGGACGTCGGAAAGCAAACCATGCCCGATCTCCCCCCCCCCTCCCTCAACCCCTTGCCTCTTTTAGCGCAAGCGTTTCCCCCCTGTTCGTACCCCTCGCCATGTAGTCGGCCAGGGAGGTGGCCGACGGCGGCGGGTCCACCAGCTTGGAGCGCTCCGAGAAGAGCAGGTCGGCCAGCGAGTCGGTCCACGAGTCCTTGGCGCGGGTGTACGACGCCGGCAGCCAGGCCTTGAGCTTCCCCTGCAGCTCGGTGGCGATGTCCCTGCAGCACGGCATACGGCACGCATGTCAGCACTAATGTGTGTTTGAATCCTCTTTCATGTCGTACGCGTCCGCTACGCGCCGTGTATCACTTACCTTCGGGAGACGATGGCGTTCCACGGCTGCTGGATCCACGTGCAGGGCCGGGCGGAGCCGATGGTCTGCATTGAGCCGTTGGGACACAGGAAGCGGTAGTCCTTTGGATCAGCCTGCTGTTTCCTATCCTTGTTGATCTGCAAAAGCCCAATGACAGAGTCAGCGTGATATTTGAATTTCCGCCTCTGTCGACCCACCGTGTCCTACACAAGGAACTTAAGAAGAACTCACCCCGAAGTAGCTCTGCACGTACTGCAGGGCGACGTAGGCCACCTCGCCGCCGTTGTTGGTGAGGCAGGACAGGGCCGCCTCGTGGGTGCCGTAGCGGTGGCTGTTGTACGAGCAGCGCTCGGGACTGTCGCACAGCGCACACAGCTCGGGATGCTTTCGCTCTGCAACAAAGTGTTCTCTTGAAAAATGTCGCTAGTTTCATGCAGAGGGATAGTGGCGCGTTAAACCCGATTTCTGATTCGTGGACGACTTTTTCGTTCTGATGCAATTTTTTAAACTCAAAATGTCGACTCACTGAGCTGGTCATCGCGGTACTCGCTGCGGGACCAGTCGCCCGGGATGCAGGCCTCCTTGAAGTAGGCCCCGAGGTTGTCGTACTCCTCCTCCACCCTCGGCACCAGGTTGTTGCAGGTCTGGGGGACGACGGTCCTGTGGAAGTGCTGCAACCGAAGGGACGCCGTTGGAGAGAAAGGGTCGATAATAATACTGGGGGAGGGAAGGCATTTCAAAGGCAGTACCTTGAGGACTCGGTCAGTCCAGATTTGGCTGTCGGAGAAACCAGGGTGGCAGAACTTCTTGTCCTTCAGGCCGCTGAGGAGCCCGGTGTAGTCGGCCTTGACCACCACGACGGTCTCGAACGCGAACGGCTCTACAGTTTTGGAGAATACTCGAGTTAGTCCAAAACATAAAACTATCGGTTCGTCATATGGGCGGCCGAGCTACTCACCATTGAGCCGCTCCACATGACGGATCTCGGACACGACCCGAGTCTCGTCGTTGAGCTTGGGGATCTTGGAGGCGAGCAGGATCTCCTCCGCGGTGAGGACGCCGAAGTCGACGTGCTTGGACACGAGCTGGCGGACGCAGTCGGCCGAGTCCACGACGCGGGCGCAGTTGGCCTCCGTGTTGCCCTTCGTGAGGCCCGCGCACGTGTACGCGGGAACGCGCTCCGAGGCGCAAGCCTTGTCTGTGGGCAAATAGTTACAGAACGTCGTTGATTATGGGCTAAAAATATCGCATTTTCCACGATCAACGAAACAGGACAGGTACAATATTGAACTCTCACCGCGTTATTTGCCTGAGACGGGAAGGGCGCCGCGAAGCGCCGAGCCCCACCCCGCCCCGCCCCGCCCCGCCCGGCCAGCACATCGACACTGATAAGATTACCGGACGTGCGGCATGACACACGCGCAGCCACACCCGACGAAAATTTACCTTTCGTTCTCTCCGCGCAAACCTTCCAATACTTCCATCAAACAAACAAAAAATAAAAAAATAATGCGAAACTAAGCTCGCCTGACAGCAAAGGGGCGAATACAAACATAATACGCTAGATACGTTGCCCCGGTCCAAAATTAAAAATGCAACAATCGGAAAATTTTGAGCATTTATAGCATCTAATTTTGATAAGGAACCGTCGTAGAAGTAGGGAAAGGAGTGACGCACGTCGGCTAGTGAGATCCGGCGCGTTGCAGGCCGTTTTGACCACGCCCTGTCGCCGAAGGGCGAGGCCGGTCCACTCTGAAGGGGTTGAGTTACCTGCACGCCACTTTTGCTGAACGGCAGATGAAAATAAGGGGGGAAAAGCCACGGTGCATCGCCGAGACTTGGGAGCCTGCGGCTAGGTGCGCCATGAAGCCCTTGAAGCCCTTGACACCATTTGGTTTCAAAATTATGCTGTGCGTTTACAATCAGGTGATTTCAGAGAACGTCGAACCCTGCCTTTCTCGTCTCATTTTCTTGACCTTGACATAGTCGCCGGCATGATTTTCTAGACCCTCCCGGCATGGTGTGCGGTCGAGGTCACTTACAGACTTTGATGGCCGCGGCGTGGTGAGTGGCCACCACCAGGAGCGCGGCCACCAGGAGGAGCGCCGGCCGGGGCGCCATGCTGGACTCTTGTCGAGGACGGGAGGGTCCTGGTCGGGGGGTCGCTCGCGCGGAAGGGCCGCGCCGGTACTGAGCCGCGGAGGGCGCGGGAGGTCGAGAGACGAGCGGGGGGCGGCGCCGAGCCGAACTGAGCCCACAGAGTGACTATGCCACCTCGTCGCTCCGCGCGCCTCGCTCACCGCGGTGACCGAATCCCGGCTAAATGCTCTGATAGTGATAGCGAGAAGCGGACAGGACGAGGTAGGGCCCGAGAGGGGGAATGGGGGGGGGGGGGAGGCACTCTAGGTGGAAGGGATAGGGTAAAGAGAGAGAGAGAGGAGAGAGGGAGGGGGGAAGGGTCATGGAAGGACGGCGGGCACTAGCTGCCGCCACGCTTAAACCCATACTTCTGCCCATCGCCCTATCCCGCCGAAAACTAGACTTCCGCCTTTGTTCTTCTACTTCCTCTACATCTCACCTTTGGAAAAACCTTCTGTTTCCCTCAGGTTCATTCGACAAGTTTACGAGGGCTCGGCGCCTGCGATATTTGGGGTAGGCCACCCCGCAGTACACGTATGCACCGCAGGCAATATGTTGCCTACCCATCGGGCGCTACGAGAGCTTTTCTTTCTCTGGATTAACCCTCCCTTCAGCTCCGTGCTATGGACCTGATTGACATCCTTGGTGTGACCCAAGCATGCACCCTGGTAAGTTGCCACCATTCGATGATTCTGATCGGGGTGTGAGGAAGAGCATACCGATAAGCAGCACACATCCTCCACTTCCGACGAGTGATATCACTTCCCGTGAGCAATACTCGGTCGGGCCGGGCGGCGCCGCAGACCACCGCCACACCCAGAGCCGCCTTCGCCTCGCCGGCTGCAACACCCACCTCTCGTCTAGTTTGTGCCAATTTGCGAGAGGACTCGGGACTCGGGCTTGTCGCCAGGGGAGATCCGATTAGATAAAGACAAAGGACTAAAAGGGCTAAAGATCCAATCGCGATAGACCTACAGAAATGGCCTTGGTGCCTGGGTCGACTCGTCCCCCGTCTAATTGTAAACTGTCAACGGCCAATTACACAAAAAGAGACGAATAACACACACACTCACACACACACACACACACACAAACACAGACACAACGGCGCGTGCGCGCCCATAGGACATTTACCGGGTTATATATGTGGTTTTTAAAAAAATACCGATTAATAGAGACGAGTAATGTGAGCTACCGGAGGTTTTCTAACGGAAATTTCTAATAGATTAAGTGTATTACTGTACCTCGCAGCTAGCAGCTTGCAGCGGGCACATTTCGCTTATTGCCTCGACGTCTTTATCGGGCTCATTTTATCACCGCCAACGTGTGTAGTAGCTAGCAGTGGCCGTGATTGCGACGTGTGAGTTGGGTTGACGTCCTCGCGGGCGCGAGAAGTGAGATGGGTTGCCTGCCCACCAGGCGGACCCTTGAGCGTCTCCGCGGGTCGAGGAGAGAAGGCCATTCATCCATCCATGTGCCACTCTCGCGAATCGCCTCAACGGTGGAGTGCTCTTATTACGGTGTGCCCCCCCCCCCTGATATCGCGGAAATCATTTGTTGCCGTGTGGATCACACACACACACACTCGTGCTCGCGCACTATGTGGATAACTCAGTCGCACATGCGGTCCCGTAGAGGTTGCGATGCGTTGCTACAGCGCTGCCTGGAGGTCGCATCCCCCTCCCCCCTCCCCTC